AACCACCTACGGCCTCGGAGGTTTGCGACTGCATATGTTCTCTCCCAACTCCTGGTCCGGATAACCCCCAACCCGCAGTGTTCAAAAACTAGCGGAAGTCCTCAGTCAACGCTTGTCTGATCTGGTTGCTTGCATTTGGGAAAAGGAATCTATCTCAGACAACTGGGGAGAGTCGGTGATAGTGCACATTTTCAAAAAAGAGGGGCGTAGTGAGCGGTAACCACAGGGGGATCAGTTTGACCCCGTCGTAACCAGATTGTTGGCGCCTTACGGTGCCCCTTCTGGGACATTGACTCGAGAGCAGCAGGCGGGATTCCAGCCTGGTAGGGGTTGCGCCGAACACATCTTCACACTTCTTCAGGTGCTAGAACAACGCCGTACGTATAAGCGACCCAAAATTCTAGTATTCCTGGATTTCCTAGGTGCATTCGACTCGGTTGATCGGTCTGTTCTTCTTGACACGTTTGCCCACCAAGGAACGCCCCCGAAGTTTGTAAACATAATTCGTTGTTTGTATTCTCAGACTTCCGGATGTGTGAGGGTGTACGGAGATCTCTCCAAAAGCTTCTCTACACACACACACACACACACACACACACACACACAAAGTGGTGTCCGTCAGGGATGCCCACTCTCCATTCCTTTTTAACTTCATGATCGATGAAATAATGAGACGAACGCTGGAGGGTCTCCAAAACTCTGGTGTTCAAATAGGCTGTAAATGAAACGTTGTCGATCTGGATCACGCAGACGAGATCGTTCTCATCTTCGAAGAGAAGGCGCTTGTGTTTCTGGTAGAACTGATCAAAGTCATCCCGTCCTTTGGTATGCACTTTGCACCCACGAGGTGTAAGGTCATGGACGTGCAGTCACTGAACACGCCACTTACGATCCAGGGAGAGGGACTGGAAGTTGTGGGGCGTTTAACGTATCTTGCAGGTTGTATTAGTTCTGATTGTAGTGTGACAGATGAGGTGAATGCACGAATCTGCGAGGCTCGGGTCGCATTAGCTAATTTGAGACATCTATGGCGTCAGAGTGGCTTATCTCTAAATCTCAAGGGACGTGCGTATCAAGCTACAGTACGGTCCGTTTTGTTGTATGGCTGTGAGACTTGACCTACTCGAGCAGCGAAACTAAGACGTCTTCAGGTATTCGACAATCGTTGCCTCAGAACCATAGCTCATGTGGGTTGGTGTCGGTGAATCCGTAATGAGGCAGTTAGGAAGCGCGTTTCCGGTTTTGTAACGGGAACTGCCATTGAAGAATGTATCCAGCACCGTTGGTCGGGACATGTGATGCGCACACCGAACCATTGCTTGCCGAGGACAGTGTTGTTTCCATGCCCCATGCAGAGAGGTTGCAAACCCTTGACTTGGCAGAGGAGTATGAAGAAGATCACGAAGTGCTTTGGTGCTGTCGGTGTTACTCGCCTTCCGCGTGATCCCCACTTCGTCTGAATACTAGTTATTTCTAACCGGGCGAGCTGAGAACATCCCAACCTCACGTGCAATAGAGACTAGGAGTCTTGTGAGACCCTATCCATGAAGAACGTGAAAAAGATTAAAGACGACCTTGATTTAGGGAACTCAAGTGGGATTTTATTGTAGACCTGTACGGTCTTTAGGGCCGAAAATCCATGCGATACGCCCTTGCTCCAAACGCACTATCACAGTAAACGACGATCTAGAGAGCCAAAGGCAGCTTTCAAATAAAGGAAGATAACCACTGTTAGTTGCTGGAAGACGTGCGGCTGTTCCAGAACCTGTCGGAAGGTGAATATGTGACCCATGCCTTTTCGTAGGACAGAATCAAGCTTTTTCCATGGATCTGCCTTTGTGTTTAGTTGACCTTCGAAGGATCAGACCACAGTTATGGCAAAGGCCTTCCCCATTTACATAGATTTCACTACCTATCAGAGCTCTCGGTCTCTCCTTAAACTTTTCGCGGAATTCGGGTGTGCGTGGTACTGGTTGCCCGCATATATGGACTTACAAGCATCCCTCAGGATTGGCGATATCAAAGATATCCAGTGGTCATTTGACTGCATCGGAGGAACGGGATAGAGCCTTGTATATTACCCGTACAGCTCCTTTTACAAGTAACCATTCTTCGTCCCTAGGCTTGTCACCAGTACTAGGATGGCTCAGTGCAAAGCTAGCTCATGTCATAGCACTGAGCTTTGACTGTTCTCTAGTGGTTCAGTATGCTTTTTACTGACTAGCCAGGGCCTGGTCGAAAGCGAACTATCAGACACACTATGGTTCGACCAGAATCGAGGTGTGCCACAGAAGCGACAGTCTTCAACTATGACAGTCCATCGTCATCATCATGGACAGCATGACATCAGCGTTCAACACTGATGCTTCGCTGCCGTACAACCGTGATTTATTTGAAAGCGAGATGGCCCAACGAGCGCGAATTTACCAACCGGAAGGTCGTGTTTCGAATCCGACCTCTGCTACTCGACTAGGCTTGGGCAACGTGACAGCATCCCATGCCTCAGGCAACATTCGGGTGGCATGACAGTTAGGCACCTGGAGCGTGCTAAGCTGAACGTTATTTAAAAGCCTTATGGTGAATGAAAAAAAGCTGAGCAGCGAAAGGACCTAGTGCCAGCTCACTACAATCATTCCGAGGTGCACACACCTTCAGACAATGCATATAGAAACAACATGGACGCCGTGCACATCGATGACCAGCAATACGTTGCAGCGTCTTCAACCAAGCGATGTGAGGATCACGTGGTCCTTATCCTTATAGGTGAGTCGCACCGACTGCATCCAACCATTTCGGAACCTCCTTCACAACACTCCTTCCATTTCAATGAAAAGAAATAATAATAATCATTCAGCAGCAGCACCCTTTCGGTGCCTAGCAGCCCTGCCACATGAAGGAGACACGAGGGCTGGGATACTGCCACGTTGTCCAAATCTAGACAGGAGAAGTCGAGAGGCAGAGGGCGGGGTAGAACCAAAGACCTTCCGGTCAGTACATTCGCGTTCTGACCACTTGGTCCATCTCACTCTCCTTCCATTTCAAGAGTTGGCCAACACTCTGCTTCCGCCATTATGAATTGGGCACGCAAAACAGCACTGTCTCCGGCCTCCTTGTGGATTAGCTGACACCAATCCACACCAGCTATGGCCCTGGGACAACGACTGTCGAATACATGAAGACGTCTCGGTCCCGCTGCTGGAACAGGCCAAGGTTCACAAACGTACACTAAATAGCCCGTACTGTAGCCTGATGCACATGTTCCTTGAGATTCTGAGAGATACCTCTTTGATGCCATAGGTATCTCAAATTAGCGAACGTGACCTGAGCATTCCGTATTCATGGAGTGACCTTACTTTCCACACCACAACCGGAACTAAAACAACTTCTACGGTACTTAAAACCCTCTACAAATACAAGTGCCTCTCCCTGGGTGGTAAGTGACATGGTCAGTGACTGCATGTCCACAAGCATGGCCTCACATTTTGTGGATGTGAAGTGCATACCAAAGGAAGGGATGATTTTGTTCAGTTCATCCAAAACCCTTCTCCATAGAAGAGGAGTGCAATGTCGTCTGCATACTCCAGATCGTCAAGGTTTTCATCAGCGGCTGCTTGAACACCGGGGTTTTGACGGGGTTCGTCTCATTATCTCACCGATCACGAAATTAAATGGAAATGGAGAGAGTGGACAGCTCTGACGAACACCGTTTCGTGCATGGAAGCTTTTGGAGAGCTCTGTGCATATACTCACACGCAGGAAGACCAGAGGATACAAGGAGTTTATTATGTTCACAAACTTTCTGGACATTTTTGTATCCGGTCTCCGGTCGTCCCAAGATGTTGACATCAGAACCCGGCTGCTTAACAGAATTAAACAGGATGCCGAAATGAGGTTGCAGAGTCTCACCACCGAATGTCAATGCCTCATTATCCTGAAGCGCGACATGGCTATGATCAGCCAGTCACGGACAGAGAATGCAAGGAATTTATTTTGTTCACAAACTTCCTGAGCATTCCGTGATGAGCAGGCGTGTTAAAGAGAACAGACCGGTCAACCGAGTCGAATGCGTCTTTGAAACTCAGGAATTTTAAAATTGTGGCTCCTCTGTACGTATGGTGTTGTTCTAGCACCTGATAGGGTGTTAAGGTCTTGGAAACGCGACCCCTACCACGCCGCCAACCTGCTTGCTGCTCTCAAGCCAGTATCTCCTGATCGATCTTGTTATGACCGGGTTCAAACTGATCCACCTTTGGTAACCGCACTCGTTACGAGCTCCGTTTTTGAAAATGGACACTAGTAATGATCCTCCCCAATTATCGGGGACAGTGTCTTTCACTCAAATGCATGCATACATGTCAGATAAGCGCTGGCTAAGGACTTCATCTCCATCTTTGAACAACGCTGATGAAGGGTCGTCCGGATCAGAAGCCCAGTGGTACAACCATAAACCTCTGAGTCCGTAGAGGTTCCACGTTTACCGTCCAGAGTTCTACGTTAGCTTCAGGCTCCAGATAAGTGGCAGCTGGTGGCCATGGGAATTTTCGGTCATGCAGGTAAAGCCAGGGAGAACGAGCTCAGGTGTTTCGTATTTCACTCTGAGTATCTGGTGATGCTGACAGAGAGAGTGGACCGTACCTTGTTCTACAATAATGGTACTACACTTGCATTTCCCGAAAAACGCCGGTGCGGCGCGGTCAGGCTTTTGAGCCAGGGGCTTCGGTCGAGGACCCTAGTAAACCTCTTGTCTAGGTGTGGACGAGGTGGCTAGAGCGCGAATTCGCTAACCAGAAGGTTCGTGGTTCGAACCCGATCTGTCTCTCCACTTCCCTGGGTCTTGTGTCTCGATTAAAGCCTATAAGGCGTATAATGTATTTTATTCCGAGGTAGCCTTCTACGAGCTTTGTAAAGAGCACAATGCTAATTAGGGCTCCATCGGGAAATGGGTATCGCATAACACAAAGAGAGTAAAACGAAGAAAACTCACAATTCTGAAAACTTACTTGTTCCAGTGTTGTTTCGTGCGAAAGAGAGCAGGAAACATGATTGGTAGAATCTCTTCCACATGATCATGCATCAGTTGAAGAATATAATCATTACTCCAAAAATATAACGCACGTTCGGCCACCTGTTGAAATCGAAGGGTATAATTGATGTACAAGGATTCTAGTTTAGAGTCTACCTGGGATATGATTAGGTCAGGTTGAATGTAATCAAATTTGTGAAGTACGAAGCAAGATATCCATAAAAGTTCCAGTCAGTTTTCCCGCAAATACTATTAAAAGAACAGAACCTGTCAGGAGCTTCAGCACCACAGGCGACATTCGCTAGCAATACATCCGACCGCATAACAAAATATATAAATGAGTTTCCACCGTCACCGGATTCAACCAAGCCTAAGAAAAAAGACTGGAGCTCGCCTGTCGCTCTGTGTTGAGCAAGACCGTCAGATGGGTTTAAGGGATGAGAGGTTCGGAGTGCATGACGTAGGAGAGCAATATAATCCTGTCATGTTACGTCTTGCAGTTGTTTTCCACAGAGAAATTTAGACCAAAGAACCTGTGATGAAAATTTCAGTGATCATGAGTGTTCCGAACGTCTGGGTAACTGGACTAAATCCGGCACAGCGGATCATGAATGGGACAATCGGAATTGGCCACTGTCAGCAAAAAACATTAGGATTTCACTGTTATGCTACCGATTTCTCTTCAGCGCTGCTGAAGAAATCGAATCAACAACGCTGGTTTGCGTCAAACTGCCCCGGAACGAACCATAATTATTTATTAGGGTTCGTCCTAGAAGATACTTTCAATTAACTCCATATGCATTGCGGGACATTGTGCTCAATCCTAGTAACTGTAGCGGCCGGATGTTAGCTTGACAGATTTGTCGAGTACTAAGATAATATGTGAGAATCAAGCTCTGCTTAGACGAAGATCTACTGATTATATTTTCACTTCAAGGAATTTGCTAGATTACTATCAACAGTTTCAGTGATTAACAGCGGTTTTTCTTAACTTACAGACAATATATATATATATATATATATATGCTGAGTGTGTTTGTCGATTAATGTGTTCCGGTTGCATCCATAAGCTCTAAACACTAAGTTCTCTGGATGCATAAATGTCTAAGGTAACCTACCATCAAGTTTCATACACATGGCAGCATCAGGCACGACAATCCCCTATCACCTTTCAGTTGCAGTTTCGTTGTTGGTCCAGTTGTACCTCGACTCCTCATTACAAGTCTACTATCTCGGAAGGTTTCGCCTATTGTGCCGCCCAGTTAAGTATGTATGTCACCCCTAAAGATTATGAAGTGCTGTTGGAAGGCTTTATGGGATCAAACCTAAACCTTAAGCTTTCAGATTGGCCGATTGATGTGGACAGCAGGTTCGAAAAACTGGTAGAGATTGCAACTTGAAACGCGGAGTTTGGGACGGCTTTCACCAAGCAGCGGTGGAAAATCGTCCTAGTTCGCAACAGCGCAGTATGATTCACGCTACTACACTGTGAATGGAAAACAGGCCAATCCGAACATAAAATCCGAAAATAGTTTCGGTGTCTGAGCATGTGTCAAATCTAGGTACCAAACGGGTTCATAGGGAACATCGAATTAAAACTGATGAGTTAGTTCGCACGCTTTTTTGAGGAGGAAATTCGTCCACGCTGGATATCAGCCGGTTACATAATGCACATGCTATATCGATAAGCAATGCAATCAGAAAACTGTGCCCGAGAGAGGTAAAAAGCGGCCCGTCTATAACCTGGCAGCGATGTGTTCAATCCCTGGCCAGTGAACCATTTATACTGGCAACTACCGTCTCACTCGAATACAACCGGAGACGAGGCATGCCAACGAGTTATGACAATGCAGACGAACCAGCAGATCAGTACACGGTATCCATGCAAATAACTAATGGCCTATGATGTGTAGTTGTCCAAGTTTCAGCTCTGTGCAAAAGTGAAATAAACTGCTGTCGCTAAGATCCTCAGGTCATACACGAATACCTTCCCGTCCTTCTTCCTGTTCTCGGCTAGTGCAACCATGATTACCCCAAAATACCGAGTGATGGTTTGCGACTAGCCTGAAGTGTAATGTAACACCTCGCAACCTACATCTTCTGACTGTTCCGAGGAAATGAATCAACGGAACCCAATGTTCTAAGCGGATTTACTGGCCTGCATGAATGCTCGCGTTGCATCACTAAGGTGAGAATCGCAAAAAGTATCTCTTCGAAGTTCCAGGTAGCTAACGTAATACAGCTAAACCGCGGATGAAAGTATCTGTAACCAAAAACACAATAACTTCAGTACAAAAAAGATAACGCAGAAAATTGGGCCAATGAGCTGAGTATATTAAAGTGAAAGGGAGTGAGGCCGCACCGAAAGGTAAAGTGAAGCGAACAAGTATTTCACTTGTTGCAGCCTCAACGAAAGCAAAATCAAGTGAGATGAACTTTGTGGATGCCAGAGACAGACCGTTAGCATCATAGCACTGTGCGATTCGAATCACGTCAACTATCCACGTAACATGATTACAGTAGACAAACCCTGTGTCTTCAGTGCCATCAGTACGGAATATCCAATATTCATCATCAGGTGTGACCAAGGTTTATCTAAGAAGGGCACTGTCAAGCTAACTGGAAGAACTTCGCGTTTGTATGACTAATTTTCGGGTTCTGGTAAGCATTAACAGCAAAATCAAGTGAGATGAACTTTGTGGATGCCAGAGACAGACCGTTAGCATCATAGCACTGTGCGATTCGAATCACGTCAACTATCCACGTAACATGATTACAGTAGACAAACCCTGTGTCTTCAGTGCCATCAGTACGGAATATCCAATATTCATCATCAGGTGTGACCAAGGTTTATCTAAGAAGGGCACTGTCAAGCTAACTGGAAGAACTTCGCGTTTGTATGACTAATTTTCGGGTTCTGGTAGAGCATTAACAACTGAACTTTTTCTGTCAGCACTTGTGGGCTTCATACACCACGAAACAAATAACGAGCAAGCTGTTCAGTGCGAGAAGAGATGAAATAAAACAGACTAAGGATGAGGAAACCTTTCATTGCTGTCCTCAAAGTATAACCTACCAAAACACTCAATCGTAGAAGTGAGACCATGCGGATGAGTATAGTGTGTGCTAAGTTACGGTTGCGAACTGAGAAGTATACAACCGGCGGAAAATAAAACAGAAAAATAAATCACGCAAGCAAGGACTAAAGTTAGTTTCCCATTAGAAGTACCAACAACGCGAGAAACGAGAATAAACGGCTTTTCTTCACTAACCTGGAAGTGTGGAGAGGAAACACACTTAGCAAGTTGTGTAAATAGTGGCTTGATGACCTTGCGAAACTCAGCTGGATCCACAACATCGAGGATCTCCTCTAATTCGTTCAGGAACATCACCTCTTTGGGACTATGAGTTTTTGGCCAAAATTTGAGTAGACCTAAAATGACCTAAGGAATAAAGGAAATGTGAGTGACTGAGACAAGGTCTACAGGACACATGCATCAGGAGCGTCAAAAGTAGCGGCGGCTCATGAATAATTGAAGGTTTTAAAACACACACACGAAGACGTTTAGTGCATCTGAGTTCTACTTTGTCTCCTGTGAGCATAACGCCGGAGCTTTAAGAACATAAGTGGCGTAAATCGTACCGAAAAAAGGGTTATTTTCGATACTAACAATTACATGTTCACGTTGGGCACGTTACCTTGCCACCTGGAGTGAATCGTACTTTTGTACATCACAAGGTGGACGAATCTTCACATACGTAGGAAAACAGATCCCTAAGTAAAGTTGAAGCACAGTATACAATAAAGATATGCGAACACCAGCTGAGCTATCGAATGCTTACGATAGGTACCGGTGCGCAAAAAGTGACCATGTGGCGTAACCATCCTTGAGTCAGGTGTGCTTAGTGGTAATACTGACAGCAGCTGCGAGCGATCTTCACCTAGAAATCGAAGACAGTAGTGTTTATACTATTCTTCACGAAAACTACGCACATTCAGAAATCACGAGTTCCGAGTTACGCGAACATCCTGATGAACTGGGACAATCCGATTATTGTTCCTCTTTCTTGTCTCCGAATTGTCATCCAGTTGGGGGAAGAAAAAAAGATAAACAAATGCGTAAAGTAGTCTGGATTGTAAGTAGCATGTTCAGTGACTACATGTCCACGAGCATGATCTCACAAGTTGTGGATCCAAAGTGCATACTTGGATCAGTTCATCCAAAACACATACGCTCTGTCCTGTTCGAAGACGGGAACGATTGTGACTGAAGGATAAGTGCGAGTTAATCACACTGCTGATCTGCCGCTCGTGCCCGAACGGTTAAGAGTTCAAACTTGCAGCCAGGAAGTCGCGGGATGCGCACTGCTTACGATTCCCAATAAAGACGAAAAGCTTCTCAGATTTTCAGCATAGATAAGCTCCACCTACGGGAAGAGGTCTACAAAATAGATGGGATATCTTGAAGGACAATGAATGTCAGGTTGCAGAGCAATAAATGAAAGCTTGTCAAAGTCCTTAATTTTGTTTGTTCCCATGAGATACTGAAAACGCTAAATTCCCCAGCTGTTGTGACGGTATTTCTCTCAGCTTAGTTCTCGGTCTGAGCCACCAAAACTGACGTTCACGTCAAAAACAACCACCAAATGTGCACAATGTACATTAACGCCCAAAAACGAAGTCAGGAACAGTTTTACAGTGCACCATATATATACTGTAAGCGGCAATAACTTTCTGGAAATTCTGACGCGTTCTGGATGCGCCATTGGCAACCGGCATTCGGCCAATACCGGGTCAGGTCTGGCTGTTGGGTCCAGACTTTCGACCAATCAGAACTCCGCCAGATGCCGGACCGAATTTTTGGCCAATCTTCCGCGGGATGGGCTCCCCGGCCGTAGCAGCACCTGACTGCGAACGGTCAAGCGGGATCCCTGAGGAACTCAGCCTAACACCCCTCTTGAAGTTTTCTGAGGTAACTTCGAAGCCGAGGGTCCACTCGGGGAGGCATCACTGGTTTGCGGATCCTGTCTGTCCGGCGTCGCGATTGTAATCTGTGCTCAAGCTGGGCCTCCAGTGAAGCAGTTGGTTGATTTTTTGGGATAGCATCGAGATCAAGAGTCCAGAAGCATTTCAAGACTCAACTCACTCGGTCCTATGAGTAAGATCTGCGGCCACTGATTGCGGTATCACCTAATGACTTGTCGCAGCAGCAGATCTTGGTCGGTAGCCTGGCGGACCATGTCAGCAGTCACTGGGAGGATGCAAATCGCTTCTGATACTACCCGCGGTTCCATTGCAATCGTTGCGATGATGGTGGCTTCTGTTTCCGATCTACTTGAGTCAATGAGTCGCGACAGTGCGCCGGCCTGTCCGAGGTTAGTAGTTAACTGGCACTTGCTTTTGTAGTGGACTGGCTCTTGCTTTTGTAGACCGTCCAAGCTCGTCAGTGAATACAGATGCATAACGTTGTAGGAGGTGCTCAAGTGAAAGCTTTGGCAAGTGAGTTTGTCCGGGTGCTGCGTGCATGCGGTTGCTCAGGAGGTTCGTGAACAAAACAAATTCATTGCATTCTCTATCCGTGACTGGCTGATCATAGCCATGTCGCGCTTCAGGATGATGAAGCGTTGACATTCGGTGATGAGACTCTGCAACCTCATTTCGGCATCCTGTTCAATTCTGTTAAGCAGCCAGGTTCTGATATCAGCATATTGGGACAACTGGATACAAAAATGAGGCACTTAAACTGATTCTCCGTCATTGAGCTGAGCTTGAAGCGCTCGCATTCTGCATTGACAACACCGGCAAACGTGATGAAATCATCACCATCTTTGTTGACCAACTAGGTAACGGATATTGAACAGTGATGTTTGATCGGCGAATATCTGAGACAGTGTTCTGACCGTTCCACCAAAGCTGAGGTTGAGGGGCAGTTTAGAGAGAATGAAAGCTGTGTATTGTTCATGACCCAGTCTGCCGAGTTTTCGCAGCAATAATCTGACTTTCCATCCATGATGAAACTTGGAAAAATCAATCTTGAACATTTCTTCGTACTGCTTGAACCAGGAGTCAAAACTGTGACCAGAAAGAGGGTCGAAAGTGAACTCCGTAATTGAGGCCGCGGCTGCATCACTTGAGGGAACAGAAGACCCACCACTGCTGATGGCTGCTGTCTGGATATGCAGTTTCTGAGCTTCAGTGACGCTTCTTTAGACTGCTTTTGTTGCTGCTGCAATAGTTCTCGGAGCTGATCAAATCCCGTCCGTCAGCTGTAGTAACGGTATTTGTCTCAGCTTAGTTCTCGGTCTGAGCCTCCAAAACTAGGGTTCTCGTCAAAAACAATCACCAAAGCTGCACAAGGAATAATAACGCCCAAAAAACGAAGTCAGGAACTGCCGTACAGCGCTCCATATGTATAGTTAGGCGGTTTACTTTCTGGAAATTCCGACACGTTCTGGATGCGTGATTTGTAACCGGCATTCGGCCAATAATGGGCTATGTTTGGCTGTTGGGTCCAGAATTTCGACAAATCGGATATCGTCTTGATACCGGACCGGCAAGCGTCCCGAATTCTTGGCCAAACTTGGGTGAGATAGACTCCTCGGCCGTAGCAGCACCTGAGTGCGAATGGTAGGGAGGGATCCGTGTGGAATTCCACCTAACACATGCGCAGCACGAGGACAAGCCAGCGCAACCGATGCATTGTGATC